CTTATTCTTCAAGGTTTTTATACTGTTCAAACTATTTCTGAACTTTTCAATACCGTTTCTAACCACTTAGTTTTAGCCTACTTTAAAGAAATTAAACTGAATGAGAAAATGTAGATTTTAAATTTTGAATGTCAGTGTTTACTGTTTACTGTGATAAGGGACTGAAGTTTTACCGATCGTCATCATTTTAACATTTTATAATCCGACTTACACAATATCAATCAGTGTGTCGCCTCAGTGTGGAAAAATCATTCTTGATGATGATACGTTTTGGCCAGAAAATGTAAACTGCCGCGAGTGGGTGCCAAGGAAATACTGGTATGGTCAGGACGAGGATAGTTCACGCACATTCCATAGCAATAAATAATTATGGGGAAATGTATTAAACTTCAAGTGATGCTACCATTACTTCTAATAATGCTCATAAGCAGACTTGCAACATGGAATATACGAGGCATCGTTAAAAGCGAGCATGAACTGTCTTCCAGATTAGACCACTGTGATCTAATGTTTGTGTGTGAAACATGGCTTGATAGACAGAATGAAGACACCCGGTATCACATTAACGACCAATTTGCAGTATTTACTAAATGTTCTGTGGGTTATCCCCAGGGTCACAGAGGCTTTGGTAGAGTGGCGATATTCGTCAGAAAATCAAAACAGTGCAAGGTCACACTTCTGGATACCAATAGCCAGGACCGTATGTTAGGTCTAAAACTTAAAACGAATGAAGAACTGATCTATGTCATTGGAACACATCTGCCATCTTCCAATAATTTGGATAGTGTATATATAGATGCTCTTGACTTTACCATGGCGATGTATGATCAATATTCACACGAAGGTGACACTATTCTCCTGGGGGATTTTAATGTAGATCTGCGCAAACATCTTCAACCCACAAGAAAACGTGCGACATATTTGCAGAGAGCACTCACTGAAAGAAATCTTATTTCTATTGTTCCTCTGGATAATCAGTCTCAATATACATTTTCAACAAAGAATAATTCTTCGAGAACTCTCATTGACTATGTTTTTGTACATTAAGAATACCTCCCTTGTGTAACTGGACATATGATTGATTGACACTAGTGTGCCCTACAGTGTGTCTGATCACTTGCCTGTAATTGTGTATCTTAATGTCGCCGGTTCCAGTAAACACTATGGTGGTGACAAGATTGACTGGAAAAAAGCAAGTGAAGTTGACTTGATGCTCTACCGGTATGAGACTGAGAACCATCTCCGGGAGACGTGCGTTGATGTGTCATGCTACTCAACTCCTGCAGAATATATCAACTCCTACAACGACTTTATGGTACAGGCACTCAGAGATTCATCAAACAACAGTATACCATGCTCCAGATATCGCTCGTACCTGAAACCATATAGGAAAAGAGATGGCTTGAAACCTCTCCATAATGAAATGAGACGATGTCGCGGACTCGGGAAAATCTCATAATATAGACGATGAACACTATAGAAAGTACAAAAACGCTAAACGTGAATTTCGAAAACGCCATCGCAGATCAAAACAACGCAGTCTTGACGATAAACTCTGCGAAATATCGAAAGCTGCTGAAGTGGACATTAACGAATATGTGAAAGTGACTAAACGCTTATCGAGACAGAATGGACAAATGTAAAAATTAACTGTTAACGGGATTTCTTCAACGACGCCAGAGGACATATGCTCAGCGTTTGGCATGTATTTTGCTGATTTAGCTACACCTGTAATATCTGATTGTTTTGATGAATCTTTTGCTTCTCATGTAACGGAAAGAGTAGAATTAATTGAAAAGATCTATAAAAATCCTGATGTGGAAAAGCTTTATTTACGGCTATCCGATCCTTTTACCTCCCAAGAGGTTTGGTGTACTGTCAAGTCCTTGAAAATGGGAAAATCCCCTGGTCCAGACTGCCTAACTAATGAACACCTTAAACGTGCAGGTAGATCATTATTTGGCCATTTAACTACAATGTTCAATGCTATAATTAAATATGAACATATACCATCTTCTTATCACGTACATGTAGGCAAGATCTTACCAATTCACAAAGGTCATGGTAAGAGCAAGGCTGACCCAAACAATTACAGAGGGATTACCTTAACATCTGTCCTCAGTAAGCTTTTTGAACGCCTCCTGCTCTTCAGAATTGAAAAGTGGGTAAACAGAAAGTGTGTTTTTCCGCATCCGTTACAATTCGGATTTCGCAAAAATGCAGGGGCTGAAACAGCCTGCTTCAGCCTCCTCGAAAACATTGCATACTATACGGAAAGAAAATCAGTTGTTTATTGTGCATTTCTTGATAACGCAAAGGCATTTGATAGAGTATGGCTTGATGGCTTATTCGTTAAGTTATATGACATGGGTATAACTGGTAAAACATGGCGTCTTTTGCGTAATGCCTACTCGTCCATGCAATCATATGTTACATACGCAGGCTACAACTCAGATGTATTTTCTATCTATCAAGGTGTTGGTCAAGGACGTGTATTATCCGCCTGGCTCTTCACAGTGTATATCAATGATCTCATTTGCAAGCTTGATTGCTCTGGCTACGGCCTCCGCTTACCTTGGGGTCACTATCCAGGTCAACTGCTAGCAGACGATACAACCATTGTCAGTAGCTCTCCATCAGCACTGCAAAACCTGCTAGATATTGCTCACAATTATGCGTGTAGATGGCGTCTGGTTTATAATGTGAATAAAAGTGCAGTCGTAGTATTTTCGCATTGTAAATATAATGTACCCGACCCTCATGTTTCCTGTGGAAAGATAGAATTGCCACACAAACATTTTGTTACGTATGCTGGTGTATGCCTAAGTGACAGTATCTCAACACTCGAACGCTCGCGTATTGCATGTGAAAAACTGAAAAGACTTATTAATGTAAATCATAACAATGGCTTGTATTTCGGTGGGTTGAACCCAATTGCAGCTGTGCGAATACTACAGAGAGTTATCTTGCCATGTGCCTTATATGGATGCAATGTATGGGGGCAACTTACTGGTAGAGAGTATGAATTGCTGGAAAAACCACAGCGCTACTTCAGTAAAAAAGTACAGGGTCTACCAAGACTTACACCAAGCGAAGTTGTATTGGATAGTCTAGATCTTATTACCATTCAGGCATACATTGATAAACAAGCTCTGCTCTTATTTGGTAAACTGTGTCGATCTAGCTGCGACTTCTATTTCAAACAACTGTTTATTGGCAGACCTTGGCAATACAAATGTCAACCAGACTTTGACAAAAGATGTTATAAATCTCCCTGTTTTAACATGCTGCGCCTTGTACATAAATACGATCTTTTCCATGTCTTGAATGATTACATAGCTAATTGTAGTGTTCCCAGTAAATGTAAATGGACTAGTCTTGTGAATGAAAAGATAAGAAATGTAGACTCTGTTAGGCTATTGAAACAAATGTGTGACCGACAGGACCTGTTAAGATATACTGGTATCAGATCAGAAGGTCAACACAGGATTTGGCAACTTTCATTACGATTTCCTTCAAAGTTTTATGTTCTGTCTAATATGGTCAAAATAGGATGCTCCAAGATAGAATCGCGAGAATGTCATTGCGGAACTGTAGCCCATGACATAGTCAAACACATTTTTATGTCATGTACTATAAATATGCAAGAAAGAAATGAAATGTTCGAAAATATCTTTGATATCACAGATGCGAATTCCTTTGTTGACCTTTGGTCAAATGATGATGATGTTATCATGTCTTTCCTCTTAGGTGGACTGCCTGATTGCAAGAAAGACCTTGAGCTTGAGATATGGGGCGAAACTATGTTACTAGTCTCTCATTACGTTAACAAGTGGCAACACTTGTTCATGCCCCCTTCACCATGACATGTAACTACTTTGTTTAGTTTTAATCTAATTCAAGTATCTACAATGTATCTTATATTATGTATCTTCTGTACTGGAGGAAATAAAGACAATCTATTTATCTCCATTCACCATTAAGGTCTAAGATTGTGTCTTGGTGTATTCGAATTTGCCCTGTTGAAAGTTTATATGTTGAAACTAATTAACCGTGTCTTGATATCAAATGGATAAATATGGCCCTGCAATACGTCACAAAACCCCATTCCAATCCATCCAATCCGGTGTTTAACATGGTTTTTAATCCTCCTTATCAGACTTTATATGACAAGAAACCTAGCTCAATTCCTCCACTTCGCATTCGTGTTCAACAACAATTACAGATGCGGATCTAAATATTTCTTCAGTTGCAACTTATAAACTACATGAAGTGCCACCGTGGCAGTAAATACAACCCACTATCAATTTGGAGTTGACGAACTTGAAAAAGACAGATACGAACTCCTTATCATACCAACAAGCCTTCCTAGAACTTAAACATCAATATACAGGGTATACAAGCATATGCACTGATGGATCCAAATATGGGGATAAAGTGTCAGCTGCAACTTACAAATGAAGGTACTCTATCATTACGATGAACTGATGGAAGGTCTACTTTTAATGTAGAGGCCAAGGCTATACATTTAGCTTTGCAACTCATTGAATGTTCGAAAGAGTCCAGTTTTATCATTTTTTCTGATAGTTTATCCTGTTTACAGGCAACAACCGTAAAACTGACCATCCCTTTTTAGTTGTATTCCTTTCCACAGTCCTATGACTATCAAGCACCTTTTGTTGGAATGTGTGGATTGTGCACTTATTCTTCAAGGTTTTTATACTGTTCAAACTATTTCTGAACTTTTCAATACCGTTTCTAACCACTTAGTTTTAGCCTACTTTAAAGAAATTAAACTGAATGAGAAAATGTAGATTTTAAATTTTGAATGTCAGTGTTAACTGTTTACTGTGATAAGGGACTGAAGTTTTAGCGATCGTCATCATTTTAACATTTTAAAATAATGTTGTCTGAAGGAAACGGATTTTGTTTTTCTAGCCGCGAATAGCTGGAATATTGCTGATGCGGCTAAAAGTAACAGTTACTCACCCATTACTTACATTTTGGATCCTTTCATTGACCGAATTGCACACATTCTCTGCATGGTTGCTTGGTTGAACATGTTGACGTACCAGTTGAAGAAACCTCCCAGAAATAGTCCCCAAACAGTGTGGCGAACGCGGGGATCGGGGCTGAGCCTGCAGAAACATTTGTACTAATTTAAGACTCAAGGGAGAGGATAATTACTCACTGTCATAGGCTGTATATCAGTGGTCGCCTGGTGTATGCTGTAATCTGCAATCGTACTGTAATCCAATCCAAAATCAAATAGACCAATGAAGATCCGGGGTTGAATACGTCTTCAGCAACCCTTGCCTGCCGTAAACGGCGACTATGCTTGTCGTCTGAGGCAATTAATGGGATCTGGTGATCAGGCTCGCTGACTTCGTTGATACATGTCATCGTATCTCAAGTGCGTTGATCGATGGTCATAATGTCAATCACTGGATGTCCAGACTCGATTATTTACAGACCGCCGTCATATAGCTGGACTATTGCTGAGTGCGGCGTTAAACAACAAACCATCAATCAACCAAACCATCAAAATCAAATTACTTCATTAAAATGTTAGACAGGTTCTTGTTGTGACTCCACACTCATGAACGGATAACACATGTAACATTAGAATAATATAAAATAATAATGCTTTACATTTAATTAATAAATAGAAAAATATTTGATTTATATGCAAAAAAGAACCAAGTTCAAATGTGTCAAAACATGTGATTTGTCTATCCTATATGTCAAACTGATCCATCGGGCATTTGTCACTAAACGTGTTGACCATACCTGCAGTTAAGTTTCTTTCGTCAAAGGTTCAGGACAATTTGTCAAAAATGAAAATAATGTCATCTGATATTCAATATGTGAAATGCTGGACTTCATCATTAAGAACAATGTGAAATTTGGGGATGAGACATTTAGGCAGGGAGTAGGCATCCCCATGGGCACCGACTGTGCTCCCCTTTTGGCTGATCTCTTTCGTTAGGCATACAGAAGGTTTGCTCGGATTGAAAAAATCTAAACAGGGGAATCTGGAACTGAGGCGTTTAACGGATGCTGCGGGTATATTGATGATGTGATATTTAAAATAGTTCAAATAGCCAATTCCCTTCCACTGATTTGCCCACATGAATCTACTTAGATCTATGTATAAAGATTCAGAATGGCAAAAACCTCTCCAAAAAGACTGCATGACAAGAGAGATGACTGCACCTTTCCCAATTTCCTTTATGTCAAACAATATTCCGGCAGCTTCAGGCTTCAACAACTTTTGAGGTACAGTCGAGCACATACTCTCTACGAAAATTTCAATGAGCGTCACACAACTCTTGCTCAAACATGCAAAGCCTCAGAAAGTCTTTCTAAACGTTTCTTTTTTTAAGAAATGTGGAGGATATTTCTAATATTGACACACCAGTGACAAAAAATAGGTCAGATCCAATTCCCTACTTAGGCTTGGACCATGTATTCACGTGTTTTGTCCCTGTATTATAATAATACCTTTAGTGATATTAACTTGAATTAAAGTCAACTGGTATATGCAGGCAAGGCCCCGTCTTAACGATCATGTATGAGTGAAATGAGCTTGTGAGCTAACATTCAGTACGCAGTTCAATAGCAAAATTGTCATATGTAACCTATGTTTTTTGTTCAGTCCAAACATTTAGCGACATTCATGCCTATTCATTGTCCAAGACACTCTTTGAGACCGAAGGCCGAGAAGGTATGAAACAGCAAACTTGCAGGCTCACTTGCCTGTATTTTCCAGCTCACTTGGGTTCCACAAATTTCGTGTCTTCGGGTTTCATTTCTAACCCGCACTTTTCCAGCCGTGTCTTCTAGTTCTCAGACAACTAATGTTTGAATCTGACTGTAAATGGCAATGTCATTTGAAACAGACACTTTCTCACGGACATATTTGTTCCGATTCGTTACAGTCTGACTGTTGTAGTTCTTCGTGCTTCTTGCCTTGATTGACAGGCCCTAAGAACTTTGTTTTGATCCTACACTCTATTGATTGGCTACTGACTTGTTAAGTTGTGTGCATACAGTTACTTGATTCATGTCACGCCACGGTATATTTCCTACACCTGGAATCTTTATCAATCTCGTCATTTTTGTCTGCCGTGATATATGCATCTTTTTTAACCTATTGTAGATAACACTTATTTACTTACAAGGATTGACTGTGTATTTTCTTAAGCGGATTCATACAGTTTACACATCGATTTTTCGATTCATATCTCAATGAACCCAAAATGATACACAGTCAATCCTTAAATAATTAATAACATTTTCATGTCTTTGTAATCAAAACAAATTACCCACTCGTCAAACTGTATACGTCCTTCCTGGTGGTTGATTTCCCAAACTTTCTGAAGAGTCCCAATCCTGCCAATGCTCTGGTAGAAAGAATAGGTAATGATGGTTTATTTCAGAAACTGACGTGACCAATTTTAGAACTTGGTTCCAAATGTTTATTAACCATATGAAAATAACATCATTAAGTCATCACATTATGTGATAGAATGTAGACACGAACACGACTTTTATCTCACCAGCACTATAACCAGCACCATGCCCCCTAACATGAACACAGACTGCAATACATCCGTCCAAACCACGCCCTGTATGCCGCCCTGAAATAACATGGGAGGGAAAATAAAACCTTCTCCATATACACATTAGTTATAGAGGAAGTTGATCAGCTTCATATACTCTTCAAAAACAACAACTTGACACTGACTTTCAAAATGTAATAAATGCGATTGTTTCAAAATAGGACACAGAAACCATAATTGAAACACTGTTTGAAGATCAATGTACACAATGTTCAAAACATTAATCGTGTCACCTAGACAGACACACGTACACGATACAGTTAATGTCACAGGGGTACAGAAAATGTCAGTATCGGTTGTGCCCACCACGTGCATCAATCACCGCTTGACACCGACGACCCAAAGATGCAATCAAGTTGTCAATAACACGCTGTTGGATGTGCTGCCATTCATGCTGAAGTGCATCAAGAAGCGCCGGAAGTGTTTGGGGCGGTGGTTTACTTCTGCGAACGCGTCGATCCAACTCGTCCCACAGATGCTCAATCGGGGACGAATCTGGTGACCGGGTTGGCTAAGGTGATGTCTGGATGTTGTTGTGCTGTAAGAAGTCCTGACAAACACGTGCAATATGCGGTCGAGCGTTGTCCTGCTCGAACTGTCCGCCATGACGTTGACGTGGAAGGAAGAACCTAAGGCTGTGATGAGTTCCGGCCCATACCATGACACTCCCGCCGCCAAATGGAACAACCTGCTGCACACAGTTGGGGGCGTAACGTTCACCCCGATGTCTGTAGACACGTGCGCGCCCATCAGCACGTGTGAGTAGAAAACAGGATTCGTCAGTAAACAGTACATTTCTCCTTCTTGCACGTGCCCATCTAACCCTCTGTTGGCACCAAAGCAGACGGTCCGCCAGATGACGTGGGGTCAATACATGACGTCGAACAGGTTTTCGTGCAAAAAGTCCAGCCTCCCTCAGTCTGTTGCGTACCGTTAGATCTGAGATATGTGTGGTTGTAGACGTGGCTGTGGTAGTGCGGTCTCGGAGGTGTCGCAGCCGGATGTATCGATCTTGTGCTTGGGTTGTCACCCTTGGTCTTCCTGACCTTGGTCTGTCGTCAACTCTGTATCGGGTCCACAGTGCGGAGATTGTCTGTCTGGATACGCCAAAGTGCCTGGCCACTTCTTGCTGAGTTGCTCCAGCTTGTAATCTCCCAATGGCGTTGTTCCGTTGAGCTGCATTCAGTCTTGGCATTCTGTCACCACCTCTACTGCCGTTATAAGGACTGTATGAACAGCCGTTGATGTGGAGTTTTATACCCATTCAGCAGGGGGGCCTGCATGCCTAAATGCAGGATCCTGTGCTGCATGTTTTTTACAGGCGGTTGCGTTTGGGTGAAGCTGTAAAATTGATCCCCAAACGCTACGTTTATGTGCTTTGCATGTGTTTTCGCAAGTTATAGATACATCATCTTTCTGTTTGACCTACTTGGTTTTCATTGAATGTTATTATTTTAGATATTTGGCAAAAAGTGGTTTTACATCTATGTCAAGTTTCTTTTTTTGAAGAGTATATATACATTGAAACACATAAAATGTAATTATGCAATCAAATGTCAAATCTGTAATGCATACTCTAAATAATGAAATCAACACAAATAAGGAGACGCAGGTACCAGTCCAGTCCCGCACATACAAATTGTCACGACATGGAAAGCGATTCATAGCATTTTCTTGAAAATAATCCTGTCCTCATATCAGCAAAGGAAAAATGGTACAGGTACCTCCTTTAGTTCCCGCACACATTCTTCTGAACTTAGGATATGTGTGTGGACGTCATCATGTTCAATAATACAAAAACAATTAGTTATATGAATATATCAGTCAACATATGGCAATATTTGTATATGTGTACAACAATCCAGTGATAGAATATAGATCTGCGAGGATTCCCAGATAACCTGCAGTTTTACCGCGTCTTTAGCACAAAATAAAACCTAGCCTAAATGGAATCTCCACACCGTTTTGCAATGATTACTCACAATTGATGTGTAGACCGTGCCGACGAGTCCGACAATTACAATGGACATCCAAAGGGGAATGCCTGCAGCTGGAGAAAAAGCAAAGAAGATCCGTGCTGAAGATTACGTGCTTGAGGAATCAGTAGGAGAAGAATGGATTCGCATGAGGACATACAGTTTGGTGTGTTTCCAGATGTGTAAGTGTTACTGATCCCCAAAAATAACGCAAAGGTAATTAACATTCCAAGTCTTATGTTTATCAACATTTCCCGTAGCACTCCTTCACTACGTCTATTCAGACATCATTGATGTCACCTAAGAGAATATAATGTATATCCTTTTATTGCAATCGAACTGCCTTGTTACCAGATGATTTATTTACTTACATACTTGGAGAGCCAGAGCAGGAGAGAATAACGCCACAGCCATGTATATAACCTAGATATTAAATCCATAGGATTAGACTATACCATATTACAAGCTAAAAGTCTGCAAATCACTTACTAAGAGCAGGCTAAATTAAGTAGAATCTTGCACATTGTAACATTGTTCAAAACAATGGATGTCTGGCGAACAATGTGGTGTAATAGAGTAATTTGAAAACTTTGATGACTGCTTAAATTGGTATCAACATACACAATTTAGAAATGGATAATTCTTCTTCAGACATGATACACTGTTTCCGAGTCTTACCGTTTGTAACATTCCAAGGAATGTTCCGTATATACGCACTGCAGTTGAATCAAATCTTCTTCCAAGATACTTAAAACCGAAAATGTAGGCAATTGATCATATGCAACAATCACAAAACGACATAAACCGTCAACGATCATCCATCGAAACAGATGTGTCAATTGTCAAAGGCCAATTGTTTTCTCCAAATCATCAAAAATATCATCTTAAAGTGTCTCTAACAATGATATCATAGTGCTTGTTGTTGCCATTGAGTCCGATGGTTAGTACATGCCGATAAGTTTGTCTAATAGCATAATATATATTTAAATATATAATGAGGGCGTCATGGTCAATGATAAATATAAAAATCTTTGGAATAGGCCCGTATACAGCCTCAGACCAATGCAGGCCGACAAACCTCATCTATTCCTTTTTGATAAATCCAATCAAATAATTTATATCATTGAATTTTCTTTCCCTTTTCACACTAATGTGATTGACAAGATTCAGGATAAACATGGCAAAAAAGCGGACATTGCTTTCGTAATGTCACGATTGCATTCCAAGAACCAAGTTGTCCGACTCCCAATTGTTCTCGGTTTGGTACCTCCCAATCTGTTGACTGACGTCGTTAGATGACCCAGGGTTTGCTACCAGGATACAGACCTTCTTACAGTCTGGTTAATGCCGAAGGCTGCATTGTTTGGCACTCTATACATTCTCCGAAAGGTTCTGAGTAGATTTGACTGGGGAGGGCTTCCTGTGAGAAGTCCTATTCGCTGTTTGGGCTGCATGTAAAAGGCACAAGGGCCCTGAGCTGATGATGAGTCTAGCCAGCCTGACTGTGCAAGAATAACCCAAACCCTCTATGATGCATTTTTTTAAATTTTAATCTGACCATAATAATCAAAAGAAGTGACAAACATTTCCAGAATAATAGGAAACCTCTTCTAAAAGCAGAGACTATTGTACGATTCCGAATATATTATGAGGATATGTTCACGAATCTCTATCAAATGGGATGTATGTGCCACACACGTTTGCACCCGTCATAAACACATCAATGGCAGATCAGTTCTTCACCTGAAGTTGCAACCTGATCCAACAACATTTTAAGGCAAGAGCGGTATGACAGTCTTTTAAATATTCAAAGAAAGAGTATGCTCGATTGTACCTCAAAAGTTGATAAAAAAGACTGGAGCTGTAGGAAAATTGTTCGACAAAAAGGGAAAGTTGGCTATTGACAAGTTTAAGTAATCTCTCTTGTCATACAGTCTTGTGGATAGTTATAGTCACTCTTCATGCATAGATCTTAACATGAAAGAGATAAGGCTGTTTCACGTGTGTCTTTTTTTTCAATGTCAGTTGGGTAAATCTGCGGAAGGGAATTGACTATTTCACCATTATTGTATAATATCAGATAACCGATCCACCTGAAGCCAAATCAAGAGGTTCTTTAACTGTTGACACTAATGATTCAGTGGTAGTTGGAAGCTTCTGATCACCGTATTCGTGTTTCTTGTTTACCTTTGAACTCGGCACTATTCCATCTCTATAACGGTGGCATGTAAATAATCGAATTTTGACCAGACAAATCTGTTTGATATTATGAGAAACGCCCAATGCCATCGGGATGCACCGGGAAACTATGAACCAAGTACCCGAGTCTGACCGTCCGATCCATTCAATCCAAGCGTACATGCATAACATAATGGGGACCTATCACAACCTGGAATCTGCTTTACTTGTTAGTTTAATCTTGTGTAGCATAAAGTGTACCTACCTCAAATATACTGACAATGCGTAACGGGTATAGAAGCGGGAGACAAGTATAGACGCCGGCAAGGTAGGTGAAACTTCGGCTTATGAACAGGTAGATGATCATAGTTCCGTATGTGTATATCTCCGCGGGGTAGCCCAGTAAGGACACTGCCGATTGCGTGGTTACGAACATGGAGATAGCAACGGAGAAAACTCCCATCTGTCGGTTCCCCAGGAGGTAGGTTTCTCTTGTGTTCTTACTCCTTACAGCGAAGAACACCCCGATACCGAATGATAAGGCGAGCATCATTCCAATGACAATGTAATCGGGGGTGTTTAGAGTTTGCATTGTGATCTGAAACAAAATACTGTACTATACTCCTATACTCCTGTCTAATAGGATTTGGGGTAATATAACATGTTAATACGACGATAAGTATTTTAATCTTTTCTTGTAAACTCATGGCTCCATTACAGTTATAAAATATACACAGAAATGTTCAGACACATCACTCACTCCTTGAAAACTGAAAGTTGACAGTAATGAATTGCTGAAGTTGGTTGTTATGGTGCTGCAATCATGGACCACCATCTAATGGTCTATATAATGTATATATATTTCAAATACATATTATTACTTCCACCCGTATGTAAGTAAACGAGTCCGCCTTGCGTAGATACATCCATATAAGTCTAAAGTGTCTGCTTGTGGCATCACAATGTTTCCCTAACGTAACAGTGGATTTAATTCACATACGTGACTTGACTTTAATATGTGTACACACTGCACACGTAAAAGCATATGTGACAATGTATACTTAACACCTGAATAAAAGTGTCACCAGGTCGTAAAATTGGTCTTGTCACAGTCTTGTGACCGCAAAGCTCCCCTGCTTAAATTGTCTGGTTTTCTATGCTGTTTGGCAAAATGGAGGTCGTCATTGTACTGTGACATTGCAATCTTCGTTAGAGAATTAGTGTCCCGACTTCTACATTCTCTTGTGATTTAATGACACATTTTTACCATGTATTGACTGTGTGGACTTTGCAATCGCAAGGGATTCACATTATCAAGGTGTAAATCTAAAAGATCTCTTTTCCCGTGTCAGCGGGCATCTCATCATAAATTACTTGAAAGAAATTGGTCTGTATAATAAATTTTAAATATGTATGTGAATAATTACATGCTTGTTTTTAAATTTGGTGTGATGCTATTAATAACTGACATTATTAAAGGCTCTGTCCAGGAGGTTAACGTAGCGTAAAAATATTGTCCCCATGTGTGACACGTAATCCTATAGTAATGGATGTAACTATCATCAACCAGTGTTTTAAGCCAACTCATTGATGAATATTTTTTTATATTGGCTAGTTTTGTGCACAACCACCAGTGGCTAAAGTGCTGACGTAAATCCTGCTGGGGTATCATGCAGGAAGCAGAGGTCCCCATGATCCCCAGCGAGGTGGCCTAGCCTTGGTTGCTGGTGGCCTATAGCCCGTGTTTTAAACTGTATTCATGATATTGTTATGCTCAAATATGTATTATTTTTAAATATAGTATGCTCCAATATGTTTCATAAATTGTTTTAAAATATGACATTGCATAAATAACTAAATTGTGTATATATTAACTTGGTCTCCTCGCTATATGGCTGAAATAATGCCGATGCGACGTTAAATGTTAACTCACTCACTCACTCACCATGCATTGATTGTGTATATGTAGTCTTAGATATGTTTCCTGCCTTTTTCATGTGTTGCACCCACAGATATTGTTACACATTTATGGATTTTGTGCCTCCTCGATACTTTTACATAACTTGTTGTATATCGTCAATGATACCGTTGGATAGCTTATGTTCAGCACTTTATTTTGATACTTACATGTTCCTTATGGATATGGTACTTAGTTTGCTATTCGTGTTTTTCCAATTTATTTCCAATGTTAAGAAACAAACTTTGGCTAAGAGCCTCGAGATTATTGTATTACCCGGCTTGCAAGGAGAGACTGCCCTCTCCGAGGTCCGCGTGCATATATACATATATATGTAAACTTTGTCATGATATTGTGTCTTCCAGGATTCTTTAGGCCGTTCTACGGTCAGCTGGCTACTAGGTGGACGCTTGAAACTCTGGTTTCGTTAGTAAGTGATTTCAGGGCTCTTTTGATCTGATTGTGACTTACTCTGGCTGTATTGAGCTTATCTTGTTAGCTTGGGTTTTTCATACACAATTTTGCAAGTAATCTGTGGATAACAAACCTTCCTGTGATTGTCTAGTTCAGAACAAGTATCGTGTGTATTTGTGAATTTCAGAATTTACTTTTTCAGTCAAAGTGGCAAAGTCTTTGGTCTATTAGACTAATTAGATATTCATACGTTCTCGTCTTTTTTATTGTCCAAGGAACTCATTTTTAGGGTTATTTCACCCAGCCAAGGTTATTCGTTCATTCAAGCATTGAGTTAATTAGCCCAGGTGTTAATTGGTCGCAGCCGACTTAATTGGCTGTCTGTGCATGTTGTCAATACCTTGCCATAGTGTTGTTCTAGGTACACTCAATATATAACTGTAATACAGTTGTTTAGCTAAGCCACTTGTGTATATGCTCTGAAGTATGTAATCAATATTGATTGGTTTTTTTTATCCTTACTATTGACATCTTTTGGTACAATCAGCTGCTGGTAATAAACCTATTAACTCATTTTCAGTATTAAGTTCTTCTTGTTGAATGACACCCCTGATCATTGTAGAACAGCTCCCTGACAGAACAATTGTTATTTGGAGGCTGGTCTGGGAGTGATCTAGTTTGAGGATTAGGGGGTCCTTATTATATTCGTGGTCAGTATTTGTGGTTCACAGTGGGCAATATGGCAGAAAACATCTATGATAAAGATGGCTTCTGATGATGAATTGTTGGAAAATGCTGTTAATTATCAAGTTGATATGCAGACTGGTTTAAGCATTTGGCAAATTGGGGAAGAGTTGATCTCCGAGTAATGGTCGGATCCAATCGAGGTAGAGGAGAATCAGAACGGGGCGAAAATAGGTGCAAATAGCGCAGGTCTCTCCTTTGCAGAACAGTTGGAGTTGAGAAAACTACCAATAGGAGAAAGAAGGTAAGAAGCTGAACTTCAGCAACGACAGTGAGATGCTCAAAGAAAAGAAATAAGGTTACCACATGAATTCAGATTAAGAGATTTAGAAATAAGAAAAGGTGGGAGTCAAGCTGGTGATAGGATCAAGGCAGTTTGAAAGGATAACAGGTAAGTTACAATGGTCTGAATAATATTGGCAAATATTGCAAAGTTTAAAAGCAATTCTCAGGGCTTGTGAGGTGACACATGAAGCATATCGTCAGAATTTTCAAGGTTTCAAGAAGGCAGGTTCTGAAGGTAATGCCGAGTTTACTACAAGAATGGCAATTTGTTTGATAAGTGGACTAATGCAGAGTCTGTGAGGGAGGTGTCTGAGCTTAGAGATTTGATGGTGTTAGAAGAGGTCAAGGCAACTAGGCCGCCTGGTTTGAAACTTCTCTGATCAGACCAGAAATTGGTCAAGTTGTCAGAAGTGTTCACTCGGTTCAGTCATCTGGCCGAAGCTCTTCTCACAATAGTGTATGTCCGTATGGTGGACATACTAATGGCAATGGCAGTCGTGGTGGTGGGCAAAGTTATGGTCTTACAACTGGCCAGTTTGCCCAAGCTTGTGGTCTCAGTGGTAGTCAAAATGGAAGCAAGGCTAATTTGTTTGCTAGTAGTGGTAGCCGAGTTGTTACTTCCAGAGTACTAGATGCAGTAATTTTGTCAAGTCAAATCAGCTGGTCATTGATTGTTTCAAACGGAAAAGGGATAATCAGTTGGCGATATGCTTTGTTCAGACCTCAGCGGGTGTGGAAGGTAGAGAGATAGTTTAGCTGGCCGCTATGCTAAATACGTGCATTGTGGCGTGGTGTCAGATGTAGATGTCTTGTTAGGCAACGACGTAACAGTCAGGTGTTATCCAGATCAATTGGTATCAGGAGTCGTTGTGTAGGAAGACGAATCTTTTGAGGTGATATAGTCTTTGGTGTCGTCTGATGATCAGGACTGTTGGGAATTCTATGTTCATTGAGAAGGCATCATCAGGCTGAGTTTGCTGGTCATCTTGGTAAGACTTCGACCTATGAACGGATCAGTTCTGATTATTTCTTGCCAGAAATGTACAGTGGCAAAGAAGATTTCCGTCAGCTTTGTTATATTTGTCAAGTATCAGGAAAACTCAATAGGGAAGATGGACAGGAATCACAAGGTTTTTCCCAATTTGAGTTCTATTGTCGTACTCCAAAGGGCCCCTTACAATTGGTCAAAGACAAGTGGCTAGGTGATTTAAACATATTTCTTCACAAGGAGTGAACGGGATTGGGGGACAAGTTGTTCCAACTTAGTTTGCCCTATACCTGGTATTTACAAAAGAGACATAAAATGCATTGCCGTATGACAGTAAGTGTACATCAAATGGTATGTTATGAATAATGTTTTTAAGGCTGTTAAACATAATTTCACGCTGATGACTAAACAGTGCACATTCCATGAGATAATGATATGCATTTTCGCATGCATTTGAACATGTACAATTCGGGTGATCTTTTATACCAATTCTATATAAATCATAATTCAATTGACTGCACATATATCACTGTTTTGTGTGTAAGATATTATATTTTCTTTTTCCATATTCTTTTTCCAAGTACGGAGAGATATTTAGGGAGACCAGTTACAATGCAGCTTCTAATTGTAATGTTTCTAATTGCTCACAGTGTGGTCTTCTGAACAATTTATATATACTCAACAACAAAAGTTCCCGTGACACCAATATTTTAGTGTCTTTTTCAAACAAGTAAAGTTTCGTTTTCAATATTGTAGTATGTGTATGAAATCAAGTCACAAAAACTGCTACAGAAAAGCATGCATTCCATGCAAAAGACTAAAATTGTATGCAAGCACCATGCATTTCACAACCAAAGAATGTGTAAAAAAAACATATGCGTTAACGGGATAACATATGCATTGTTTAGCATCGTGCTACCAACAACCACTCAGAAATACAACAAAATTACGAAATTATTCAACATTACGAAATGCCACGCATGTCGCGAAAATGAGCGTCTGTGAGTCATAAGTATGCTTGGAACAGGATCGAGTCAACGTGATGTTGCAAGATAATTTAACGTCCACAGAAACACCATTTGGCAACAGACGAATGCAGTCAGAGATACATCCTCGGAGTGGCAGGCCACGCATAACAAATAACCGACAAGACAAATGGATTCGAAAAACACACCTACGAAATCGATTCCAGCCAGCAACAATGACTGCAAGAAGCACCCTGGCCTTCGAAGAATATCTTCACAAACCG